CCTTCACAGGGGCGGGTGGGTGGCTATAAGGTCTCCCCGGAGCCTTCTCTTCTCCAGGCTGAACAGCCCCAACTCTCTCAGCCTGTCCTCATAGGAGAGGTGCTCCAGCCCTCGGATCATCCTCGTGGCCTCCTCTGGACTTGTTCTAACAGGTCCATGTCTCTCTTGTGTTGGGGACTCCAGAACTGGACACACTACTCCAGGTGGAGCCTTACAAGAGCAGAGTAGAGGGGGAGAATCACCTCCCTCGACCTGCTGGACACGCTTCTCTTCATGCAGGCCAGGACACGGTTATTGGCCTTCTGGGCTGCAAGTGCACATTGCCGGCTCATGTTCAGTACATTTCAGTCACACACACAAACAAGCGCTCTGTACTCTACAAATCTAACCACAGGTGTTCCATGAAAGGTGAAATACTGTATTTGTAGTTAATACAAGTAGTTTAAACCACATTGTATTGTCCTGTGGAACACAGACTGAGGCAGCAATGCTACCCAATGATGGAACAGTGAAATGTGTAGGACAGTTTAAAGGTTATTTCTCCACCTGCAGGTTCCTGTGGCTTAAATGCCTTCCAATAAGTTCACTTTCTATGGTGAAATGACTGGCGTAGTAGATGAGGCAACAGTGGATATTTTCTGCCAGGACTTCAGAAAAGCTTTTGACGCTATCTTCCATAAAATCCTTACAGAGAAGCTGCTGATGTATGAGTTGGATGAGTAGACACTCAAGTGGACTGAAAACAGGCTGAACTGCTGGGGCCAGAAGGTGGTGATCAGTGGCCCAAAGTTTGAGTTGGAAGCCAGTAGCTAGCTGTGTTCCCTAGGGGTCAGCACTGGGTCCAATTCTCTTTAACATCTTAATTAATGTTCTGGATGATGGGGCAGAGTTTAGCCTCATCAAGTTTGCTGATGACAACGACCTGGGAGACGTGGGCAATACGCTAGAAGATCTTGCTACCATCCAAAGGGACCTCGACAGGTTGCAGAAATGGACTGACAGGAACCTCATGATAGTCAACAGGGGGAGTGCAAAGTCCTGCACCTGGGGAAGAACAATCCCAGGTACCAACACATGCTAACCATCCAGCTGGAAAGCAGCTTGGCAGAAAAAGACCTGGGCATCCTGATGGACACCAAGTTGAAGGTGAGCCAGCAATGTTCCCATACAGTAAAGAAGGCAAGAGGGAGGGACAGAGCTATCCCAACATCTTTAAAGGAGAAAATGTCATTTGCTATGACACTTGAGTGGGAGCCCAACTGGCACCTTGTCTTGAGGAAAGCCAGAAACATCTATCAGATCCAGCATCTGCTACCCTTCCCAACACCCTCTTCCAAACCAAAACCTAACTTTACTATGAAAAGTCCAGTTAGAAAGAACAGCAACAAAACGAGTGCATCCCTTCTTGCCGTCATGTTTATACAGGATTTCTCTGGTTTTGGTATCTGCTGACCAAAATGTCAGCTGCCTCGGTAATTCAAAACAGATGTTAGCCGTCATGACTGATAGGGTGGGATTTCTTGCAACATTCAGTTAAC